ATCTGCTGCTTATTCTTTAAGAGCTTCTGGTTTAAGGTTGTGGTATCTAGTCGTCAAGATTTGAACCAAACTGCCGGTTTTTGATGTTAATCAGTAGTTATAGGTAGGCAGTTACAATTAAGCAACTGCATTGTGAAACTTGTAGAGACTTGTAGGCTTGGCTCATGTTCTGCTTTCAGGAAAGGGGAACACAATCCCAAGATGAATGGGCTGTTTGGACAAGAGCCACTAGGAGTGAAGTGAGCAGGACTGAGCAGGAGCTCAGGGAAAGGTAATTCTGGCAGGGGAGATCACGACCACCCACCCATTGACCAACTACTCAGAACAGACTCTTGACTCAAATGGAGGGAAGAGCTGCATATGCAGACTAATTAGCACAAGAAGCAAGAGATACAATTAACAAATAAGGGTTTGAGTACTAATTATTGAAAAAGCTATGTAATTTGTAACCAGTGAAAACTGATGCCTTTGTTTAAATGTAGAAGTGTACAGTTTGACTGACTTTGTGGGTTACATCAACCTCCCTACTTTGCATGAACTAGACTAAACAAATAAAATACTTCATCTTGGTGTATGAATTGAGTCTGCACGCCAGGTAGGGAGCCCGTGTTAGGGACAACAGTTATCCCTAACAAAAGCACATCAAACAGAGAAGAAATGTTACAGAAAGAAGGCAAAGAAAATATAAATACATGTGCTTACCAGATTTTGGACCTGACCACCTGGTATTTTTTAAAAGATGAATACAGGGTAATGGGTAATTTTTACTGTGACACTGCATATGAACTCAATCTAAATGAGAACACTCTTATGCATGTATAGCTTCTGCTGGGGAAAAAAAACCCAGAAGCAGCCTCACTGCTAAAAATTTGTGGGGTTGTTGTGTTAGATATTTTTGTTCTGATCTGACAAATACATGACTAGGATACAGCACAAACCACATTGAATGTATGGCATCAGAATATCTATTTTTGTTTTCTTTTCTAAGAAACAAACAAACCAGAATTGTTTATGCCTTAGCATTTCAGATTTCCCAGAAATTGGAGAAGTGATCTTAGGCTGTTTTGTAGTAGAAAATAGCATATAAACCATTCTGGCCAGTCCCTTCGATTCAGATGGAAAGCAGAGTCTGCCTCCCAGTGGAAGTACTTAGGAGGATTGACTTAAAGGAGTGGAAAGTGATTGTAGGAATTTGGGGAGTGCTGAAGTGGCATGATAAGTAGGCAGTTACTCCCCTTCTTCAGTAGCCAAAGGCTGGGAATAACGGTGAAGCTTCTGGCTTATTTTTATGCAGATTTTTTTTTCATACTGTATATACAGTGCTATTAGTGTTCTTATTTAAGTATAATTTGTATCTGTGGTTTAAAAATCTAGCAGTATGCCAGGGAAATTGGTGGGATTTTCTCTCTCTGTCAGTTAATTTGTAGATACCAAAGTTCCTCTGAGGTCTTCTCCAGTAGTAAGGTACTTTATCCATTAATTTCTTTGTTTCTCTGACACAAACGTGAAAACATTGAATTTAGTTTGGCATTGAATACATCTCTTATATGCTCTAAGACCTCCTTATAAAAAGGAGTGGAAGCAGCATATTGACAGTATCTGATGAAGTGTCTGAAACAAGCAAGACACTTGTTTGCCATGAAGCAGTAGTATGTAGTAGGAGGAGGAGATAAAAGATGTAGCAGCACAGGACGGTGTTCTGGCATAGCCATTACTTTGTTCCATGACTCTGAGTAAATGTTTTTAGCACACTGTTTTCATCTTGGGAAGTGCTTTCAGGTTCGCTGACGACAGTTATTACCTTAGAGCTGTCTTTTATTGTTCTTATTAATAGAAGATGTACTTGTCAATCCATTAAATATTTCAACTGTCTTGTATAAGGTAAAAAAATTACTTAAGGAAAATAAGTTTTTAAATGTTTTGAATAGAAAAAAATCTAAGATGCAGGATTGCAATGCGGTTTTCATTTTCAGTTGATTTTATTGAATGGGTATTTGTGTTGTTGGTGAAGGTAACTTTAGAAGTGCCTGTTTTAAGTGTTGCTCCTGGAGCTCATCAGTGCTGAACTCATTTTGATTTAGTTTTATTTTTCACCTGTAACAAAGGTTTAAACTTAAATTTATAACCTGTGCAGTCAGACTGTGCATAGAAGGTCCTGTAGGGGCTTTTTTTGAAAAATAAAGCTGTTTGTCTGCTTTATGATTTCACTTTAGCTTTTAGGTTCTCAGAAATATTACTGTCTTTGTTTTGTTAGAAAGCAGAGGATAGATGTACAAACCTGAGCCTCTTGCTGTCCTGCACCATGTAGTGATATTTCATACAGAAGGGGTTGGAAGTATGTAGAAGAGATTGATGTCAAATAGTTTTTAACACCCACTTACCATTACCTTTTTAAAAATAACTGGATATACAAAGGATCCATTTGAGAGAAAGTGCAGGTCTTTGCCTCCAAGAAATGTCAGCTCCTTCAGCCTACTTTAGTTCTTTGTTACCACATTTGCCTCCCTGTTGTCTGCCCCCACTAGGTGTGATTTCCCCCCCCCCCCCCAAAGTAAATGAGCCTACTAAGAGGAAAAAAACCCCTTTCCTAGATAATAAAACTTTTTGTCTCAAAATTTAGCTGAAAGAGTAGAAAGTATCTCTCTGGGGTAAAGGACTTGTTTGGTTTATGTTATTCCTACTGTTATAGTATCTTGGTGTTTAACAATTACATAACAATTTTATCCTGACAGCATGCCTTCTGGCTGCCTCCAAAGGAAATAGGAGTATCATTTTACAAACACTGACATGTGAAGAACATAAATTCAACCTGTCTGTCTTTATAGGAATGTTTATTAGCCTTCATCCAGAATTTAAAGGTATTTAGGTTTGTACTAGTTGCAACTCCCAACGGTGAGCTCCAGAAAAAGTAAGTAGAGGGATCATTAGTAGGGAGAGCAGGAAGTTAATCCTCCAGTCCACAGCTCTTCTCTGATCCCACAGTGCACTGCTGACAACGAGTCACAAGGCGTTCTGCTGTCGGTCTGTGCTGATCTCTGGTCTTCTGCGGTTTGATTTGCAGTACGATTGCCAGTCTCCTTCCCTCTCCTCCTCCAGTTGTGCTTTGGCATTAACTCCTATTCATGGTTACTCAGTTTGAGATAACAGAAGAATAACTTCTTTTGTAGTGCTAATTTTCTGTTGATTTAGGTGGCTGGAGTGACTCACCCTAGGCTCGAGTAAGTACCAGTGTTGATACAAAGGAAAATCCACTGTTCTACCCTGAGAAGGAGAGGGTTTAAACTGGATCAGCAAGCTAATCTGACTCATTCCTAGCCACATAGGCACTTGTGTGTTGGTACAATGGAGGGAAAGAGCTGAATTACACTTGAGAGATGAACAGTCTGTTTTTATTAGCGGCCCAGTTAAACCTTCTTGAGCCAAACTGAAATCACACCCTCAGGCTGTGCAGTTCGTGGCCAACCTTTGCTGCCCCAGCGGTTTGCTAAACTCTTACCTTGGAAACTGGCTCGTTCCAGGTCATGCTGTCCCTTTCCTGATGGTCTGTGTGTGCCTTCTTGTGCTTTTCAGAAACACACTCGTGCACAGAAGAGAGTTAAGTTGTGGATTTGGTTGTGCTGATGCCTTTTGGGGGGCGAGTTGTGGGAGCAGAAGTGCTGAGGTGGCTCCAGCAATCTGCCAGTGCCTGTTTGTGTTCCACAGAAGAGCAATAGGAAGCTTTTAAAGAGCCTGAGAATTCACCCAGGGTTGTGAAAGAGATGGGTCAGAGCTGGAGGCTAGAGGTGATCTGAATAAGGTAGCTCAGAATTACCCTAGATATGCTTGCAGAGAGTAGTTATTCACAGGACCCTGTGAGCAGTCCAGGGCAGCAGCTCTCTGGGGATACAGGAGGTGGTGGGAGGAGAGGCTTGAGGAAGCAGTGGGGAGTTAATTGGGGAGCTGAGGTGTGTCCTTGTGCTCACTCTGCTGTCGCTTCAAATTCGGGAAGATGTGCTGAGCACCAGCTCCTCTCCAGGGATCCAAGGCATCCATTTCCACCATTCAGCTGGGCTTGTTGGGATTTCCATCCTCTCAGTTTCAAGAAATGTGTGAAGACACTTCTGCTGTAGCTGTGAGGAACATCTGTTTTCAGATATAACTGTGTCTTAAATCCATATTGCAAAAGAGATCTTCTGCTTAGATGGGTCCATGTTTAGGATTCTTCTGTGCACCATTCATCACCTCAGGCTCTACCTTGCTTCTTAGTCCAGGGAATTTGTGAGGCATAGACTTGGTTTTGTTTAATTAGTATGTGTGAAATCAAGGAAGTCGAATGAGGCACTGAACGCATTGGTGTTCACCTCAAGCAGCAAGTAGTACATCCACTGAAACTGGAAAATATTATATCTGTATGAACTGAGTAGCTGTGTAAATAATAATGTTTGCACAAAGGTAATAGGTACAAAATGTTTACATTTGCTGCGTATTTTAGATGTGAATTGCTGGCACAGGTCAAGACTTCCTTCTGCAAAGGGCAATAAATAAAACTTTGTATAGTAGAGCATAGTCAATAAATGCAATGATTAGTACTTTATTTAGTCTTTTTATAAAGTGTTCAGGAATATTTTTTACTTGGGCTGAAATGTGTTCTCTGTGTAGGCAGATAAACAAAGATAGGTACATTTGTTCTTGTTTGTTTTTTTTTTTTTTACCCCTAATGGTAGAACCAGTGTACACTGAAAGCCACTGGGGAATTAGAATTTGTCAGGGAGGCAAGTACCATGAGCTACTGAGTTTAACTAATGCGCTTCCAGCCACCCTGATCGTACAGGACTTGAGTCTGAGCCATGGCTGTGTTAAAGTTGGCTTTACTGAACTTGGAGGTTGTAGGTCTACACTCTCCGAGGTGATACAGTGCAGTATCAGATGAGGAAAAGGCTTTATTTATTACATAATAAAAGTGAAAGAATGGAGGATATGTTTTATAATTGCCATATTTAATGGGGATTTTCCATTTTTAGATTTCATGCAGTTGCCTGTGACAGCTCCTGTTGAGTAAACTGAGACGGGAACATCTTGTATCGCCTGTTGTACCTGTACCTGCCACCATGAGAAGTTGCATAAGGTTTCTTTTTATTGTTAATTCATGCTTTTATTGTAGTGTAATTGTTATAAGCAGGCCAATTAGTAAACACATTCCTTTAAGGATTTTTTTTTTTCTCATCTAACATAAGTTTGTTTCTAAAACTAAAGGGTATAACAGTATTAGTATAAGTAGTATATCAGGCCAAATCACTGATTATGTATTAAGCAGGATCTGTCCTGAAAAGAGCTGGTTTACTTCTCCAGACTCATTCATGAGTGTGCTGATTGCTGCTTCTCAGTTTGCTCTTGAAAAAAAATTGTGTACATTTTTAACTTGTAGTCTTGCTCTTTCCCGTTTGGTGACAGCTTCATGAAACAGAGTTCCATGTAACCAAACAGCTATTGTGGAATCATTTGCTTGCAGAGTTTTTCTATAGGTTGTATTCTTGCATAAGTTAGCAGCTCTTCCCTCCAGGATTTAACCTCCCAACTTTTCCTGCGTCACTACTCAGGGTTTGAGCACTGATTTTTCAAAAACCCCAGCAGGACTGTGTGAAACCAGGATGGATGCATGTTCTGTAAGCACCTGAGTGTTTACAGCTAATCTGCAGACTGAACCACTTAGTTAGAATATTACCACGTCAGGTATTTTTATTTGTCAGTGGTTTTATTTGTCAGCAGGAGCTACCTAAGAACAAAACTTATGCACTGTAAAGGCAGTGGACTTTCTCACTGGGTCATAGTCTAAAACTTGCAAAAACTGCTTAGGCTCATGTCCTCTGCTTTCCATTCCCTGGCTGAAAATGTTAGGTTTACTTACCCTCTTTTTATGGTCAAAAGCAGTCATATACTTCCAAAATTAATAAGGTGACAACAAATTGTTCTTAAATGAAATTGTAAAGCCCTGTATAGTATTTCACTAAACCTTTCAGAGGTTTTTTTTGTTGTTGTTGTTTGATGGCGCTTTTTTTAAAGGCGGAATGTTAAACAGTCAACAGTGCATCTCTTTTAAGCCTTTCAAATCTGATAAACCCCTGAAAATTTACTAAAACTTTTAATTTTCATGTTAGTTCTGCAAATTGATTATTTATAATGTATTTTCATTTTGAGTTTTTAGAATACCATACAGTAAAGGTTTGAAATAACAGTTGTTACAAGTGTTTGCTTTTGCATTTTTCTCTGTATCTTAATGGAAATAATCTTTTTCTTTTAAATTGTCATTAAAAATGGAAGGTTTTTTTTGAGATTAAATGACCTTTTATTTAAAAAAACCCAAACCAAACAAAACCAAACCACTGTCAAGTTCAACTGCATTGGTTTTGCTTGCAGTAAAATATAATTGTCTTACAGCTAGAACTCCAGTCTCACATTAGGGTGGAGTTTTGCTTCTATGTTGTCATCAAAATGAATTTTTTATTGCATGCTTAGTGATCCATTTAGCTGACTTTAGTGTTCTTCTACTGGGAATGGCAATGATAAATCTGTTGGGGATGAAGGTATTTTAAACTGATCTCTTTTTCTTACCTGGTATTTTTCTGTTTAACAACATATCAAACAAATAAACAAAATGGTAAATTAAAATGCATCTTCTGTTCTTCAGTTATACAAGGAAAGAGGTGGAGTCTTTTCATTGCCCCCAAGGAACTTCCTTTGTGTCATGGCTCAGGTCTCCTTAGAACAATCACCCTACAAAGATACTGGAGTTTATCCTTCTGATGAGACTATTATATTTTTCTTGCTTGTTCAGAAAGGGACTGCACTTTTCCAACTTCCAATTACAACAGTAATTACAATTAGTTAAAAGTGTAGATGCTCTGCAAATATCATAGTCTGAAATCCATTGCCAAATTGTCAACACTGGCACGGGAGTGCTCTCTTGCTAAAGGTTGCTATCTCCTAATTATAAGACTTTGAAGGAAGAAAAATGGAGTCTTACGTGGCCTTTAAGGCAAGAAACTGCATGTGCAAAAGATAGTTTTTAATCTCAAAAAAACTGCATTTTAAATGAAAAAACTCTTGCGAGTGTTAATTTTTAAAAGAAATTGTTTGCAATAAGTGACTTGTGATAGCCTCACTTTTCTGAAGGAGGAGCTGAAATAATTAGCAATTTACTCAGGGTAAAAGATGTACATAAGAGCAGAGTTCTAGAACTGGGTGCTTACTTTTCTGAGCCAGGGTGACATTTCAAAACATTTCCCTCAAGTCTGTCCTGTTGTAGTGTTCCTTAGACCCTTTCTTGCAATGCAGCCTTTTATGAACGGGTGGGCCTAGCACAATTTATGTTTGCAATTCAAAGCCAACATTTCCAGGTTTGGGGGTTATATGCAAGGCCTTGGGTAAGCCAGAAGAAAGAGCTTGACATGAGACCTTGATGTGGTTATTTTAGAAATGGTGAAAAAGGTTCCTCTCTCCTTCTGAGGCAGGAATAAAGCTGTTAGGATAACTGCAAAATCAAATGACAGGCTGCTATTCCAGAAGGGCTCAGTGTCTCTCTAACCAAGGAAAGATATGAAACTTAGAATATTTTTAGACAGGCTTGACTGTCAGACAAGGAATTTCTTTGGAGAAAAGTTTTCCTAAAGGTATTAAATGAGTTGCTTTAGGTTTTTCTTTATAACAGTGTTTGGTTATATTCTCTTTCTGCTTTGTAGGCAGAGAATTCTCCAGCTTTATAAGGAGAAAAAAGATGTGCCCCTTCTGAACTGGGCCAGACAAAATTATAGGGCAATGTACAGTTTTTGAAAAATGGGTAAACTTTTGCTGTGTGAACTTTGGATTAGCTTTAAAACATCTTGTTCTATGTTGCTATCAACAACAGCACAGTTTTTTCTGGGTAGCAGTAGCTTATTGGCTGGCTCATGATTATTTTCCTTAAGTATCCTTCTGTGGCCGACTAAGAACATAAGTCTATTCAAATGATTACTGAGTTTGCCCTTTAGCCTATTTAAGTTTGTTTTTTTTTTAATTTGTCATTGCTTTTTGCCTTTGATCTGAAAATTAAAATACATACACTTCCTTTTTTTTAAATCCCTTTTTCCCCCCTGCTGCTTGTTGCAGTAAGTCCCTACTGTGAAGAGCTCCTATGGTTTGGGTGTGCATCTGTGGGTGCTCTGCAGGCTCTGATGTTGCTTGGTTCCTTCAAACTGCCTGTAACGAGGCAATGTTAACAATGAGGTTACAGCAGCTTGTTAGGGAAGAAGATGGTGAAATATTTTTGCTTGGAGTTTTAAGAAATTGTATATTTTAGGGAAAGGTGGAATTAATCTCATGCTACAAAGGAAGGGTGTTGGGTTGATCTGTTCCCAAAAGGACCTACAGATCTAAGACTAATGAAGCAAGGTTTCTTTTCATTACTACTGAAGGATCTTACATGACTTAAACATTACTTCTTCAACTCAAATTTCTTTTCTTTAGGGTTTTTGGAGAGTTAGTGGGCAAAGAGTCAATGAACGTAAGACATCACAGATTAATATATCTTACAAATGAAAGTTTACTTAATTTAGTATTATCAAAAGCTCTGCATCTTATGTATATATCTTTATTAGCTGCTCGATTTATGGTATTAATAAGTTCTATCCATACCCTTGAGAAGTTACCTGAGTGAAATGCATTTGCAGTTCATTTTGTTTTATGTGCAAAACACTGATTTTAATAACTGGTGTCTCATTCGCTGTTGCATAAATTCATCCTCAGCCATTTTGGCAAGTGTCCCGGTTTTCCATAAGGTTTTAAATGGTTTTGTTGATTTGGGTTTTTTTAATCTTTTAGATAGATGGCACCATTTCTTGACTCAACAATAGAGTACATTAGAAAGTAGTATCATCACTGTGGTCATTGGATATGATAAATGATGCTTTTAAAAAAGTCAAAGTGAATATCCTGGCATCATTGGGGACCCTGTGAAAAGTTACATGTCTCTTCATAGTGCTGGTGTTAAGGAATTTGGGGGTATTTCTAAGCTATTTTCCAGTATTTACCAAATATAAGTTAACTCATTGTCATGTTTATTGATATAACAAGTGTGCCCATTGCCTACTGGTTCTGAGACTGAAGTCGTGGGACCGATCGGAGGTCTCTAGGAATAAAAGAACCAGCAAAGTTCTGTCACATACAGGGCTTTCCTTCTCTTATGTAAGTGTCCCAGTGTGTCTAATCACATCCTCAGTGGTTGGGGTTCCCATGTGCAGAGAGCAGTGTCATTGCTTGTGTTCTTAAGGCTTGTTTGGAGGCTGATTTACAGTCATGTAAAGATGGCTAATGAAAATACACATGTAGGTATGCTGATGTGGTTGGAGAGAGTCTTTTAAACTGTATAATCACATAACATTTTCAGAGAAATGTATCCCATTCACATGTCATTCTATTACAGTCTGCTAAATGGGAATGGAAAAGTTTTTCCTCATGTATCAATGTCTTGTTTCATTTGTATTATGGATTAAGACTTGTAGCATAATTTCTGCATAAAAAGACCTACTGGGATGTGGATTGTAATATTATGTTTGAAAATAACCCCCTGCCAATGGTGATAGTTTACCACTTACCTTTTCTTTTCTCTTTTCAGATCTCTTTGGATCCCTGTGTAGTTGATTCATGTTTCCAAACTCTTTCTTGGAACCTTCACAAGCAGCCAAAATGAAGTTGAAGCATAACATCAACCCCGTTCTTTTACAGTTGATAAACTTTATAATTTTGATGTACACCCTTGTAACATACATTCCATGGTACATACTTTCAGGATCAAAGCAGGCTATAGAAAAAGCCAAGCAGGTTAAAGCCAGACCTGTGAATAACAAGGCTGGGGGTGCTTACAGATCTGTTAACAGCCTACATTGCTTAGCTTCAGTTTTATATCCTGGGTGTGATACACTTGACAAAGTTTTTAAATATGCGAAGACTAAATTTAAGGACAAAAAACTCTTGGGAACACGTGAAATCCTGAAAGAGGAAGATGAAATCCAACCATCGGGAAAAGTTTTTAAAAAGGTAGGTCTTTCTGCAGTGTGCCTTGAAGAATTTTTGTCAGAATGTGTTTACTTTCTTGTGCAGCACTTCTAGTCCCGTAAAACAAAGCCGGGCAAAAAATAAATTTCTCTACTTAGATTGAATAGTTTTGAAAAGAGTTAAATTATCTAATTCCCGATCTCTCATTACTTGGCATTCAAAACAAATCTAAACCTTCTTTTTGCATTCTTGAGTAGATATCCTTTTTTTATGGTTTCATCCAAAGAAAAAGCACAAATATGTTTTAAGTATTTGTCTTTAATATTCAGGTGATGATGCAAGTAGCTTTAAAGGTTGCTTTTTAGGTGAATTAAAAAAAGTCTCCCTTTGTATTATTCTGAACTATAATCAGCTAAATATTGAAAAATTACTAGATGCCTATGCTCAGATTTGCCATTCCAGTAAACTCAGTTATAACTTGTTCTACAGCAAATTCAAGACTTAAATGAAGTTTTTTTGGGAAAGGATTTCACAGATTTTATTGGAAGAGTCTTTTTTTGTCTTTTTTTTCTTTGTCTCCTTTAAGGTGAACTACTTCTCTGCTAATATGTGATCCAGGTGTGTGTGTGAGATGTGATTACAGTATGAACTCTGTTTCAAGGGACAGATTTTTTAATAGTGTTTAATTTTCAAGCCTGTATTGTCATTTGCTGCTTTGTGTTTGTTCAGAGGCATTTAAAAATGCACTTTTGCCTGAAGAAGCAAGGCAGGAGACTGTAACAGGATATATGTGTCTGTGCATCTCTGTGTAGTGTATTAAAGGTCTGCATTTCTGTATTAGAAGTTGTTAAAATCCATAATATAAAGATAATTTTTAGCTAAGGTTAGTTTCCCTGCAGATGAAAAAAATTATCTCTTCATATAATAAAAAGTAATATTCCTTAAATACTGCTAGTTTTAATTCTGATGGAGAAGTATGTTTACAATAGAATTTGGTTAATATCACATTATATGGCAAAGTTCAGTTCTGTTAAATCTTTATAGAAGCTTTAATTGTTAGAGAAACTTCCTCTCAGCTATGGAGTTAGTTTTTTTAGTATGAAGGAAATGCTGGGATGAACGGTTACATGTAATCTTTCTTGATGCACGTTTTGCTGCCTCATTACCCTATAAAGAAACAGAAAGTTCATGTTGTACAAAGTTGTACAAAGAAAGGCTTCTGAGCACAAATCAGAATTTTGGCTGCCTGTGATATGTGCCCTGTTTTTTAATTGCAATTGGTAATGTAAGACTTAAGAACTTAGGAGTTTTAACCTTTTCCATTATGCAAGCAATGTGTTCTGAATATTGGAAAGCTGAAGAATGTTTGTGTTGATCTGCTTAAATTACTTGTTTCTAAGTATTTAGACTTAGAAATTACCCAAGTTAGGTAATTGTGTCTAAGCTTGACACAACAGTTCATTATGGTGGATTGCCACACTTGCCCTCTTGTTACTTTGTTCCAAATTGTGGCATTATCACACAAATCTACTTTTAATTTTTTTTCCATTAAGGAATACAGTGTTTCTCAATACCTCATAGCATATTTTAGCAATAGAGGAAAATTGGACCATTTCACAAGATACCTTGTTGATTCTAAATGTCAGGGTTCTTTTCCTTTGATTTCTGTCTTTCATATCATGCACCATTTTATTGCCTGGATTCCTTTAGCAAAGGCAACTTGCTGAGATTTGCTTGATGCAGCTCTTCAGAAAGGTGCATGACAAGTTTCATTCTTAGGTATAATGCATATAATTTCTATACTTAACAGAAGCTGAGAAACTTGTCAATTCCTTTTCCTTTTTCATGATTGAACATAGTGATTGGAGTGATGCGTTTTTCTGGGGTCATCTGCAAGTCAGGAGTAGATCTGGATCATGGGTCTGGCTGAGTTGCAATACCTGTTAGAGGTGTCCCTCAGCAAATTGCAGTGGGCTAGATTAGCCTAATCAATGATTCATTAATGGGGTAAATATACATCTCAAAGAAGTAAAATATTTAACTTGTGATTCTTCGGAGAGCTAAGTGTGCTCACACTTGTAGCTGAAATTGTTTAAAGCTTATTAACATCTTTAAAATCAGATATGGCATTAATTTATTCTGAGATATCCCAGATAATGTGTAATTTCTTTAATTTTTGTGATGTGATATTGTTACAAAAGTATTTATTCCTGTGCGGTTGCCAAAGTAGCAGAAACTCATGGATGTGAATAAAATATAAATACTTGCTCACTTTGTTGCATTTTATAATATTTCATATGTAGTTAGTTTTTCTGTTTCCTTCTGTAGTTTACTTCTCCAGTTTCCTTCTCCAATCTCATTGTTGGAGACCATACCTAATAATAATTTCATAAAACATGTGTTTAAGTCAGAATAAAAATACCTCAAAGATTAAGACATAAGTAATTGAAAAAAATAATTAATTTAAGCAGAGCTTAAATTTTATGATGCCCAAAAGATGAGCTTTATTCTGATGGCTGATGGTTTTATGTCATCTTAGTTATATTGTCAGGTGCTTGCTTTTATCTACATTGGTATGTGGATTTTGCTCTGTGTGTTTGTGTTCTTTTGGTGGTTTATTTTTTGAGGGGAATGTTTGTTTGTTTTGGAGATCAGTTGTTTGTCTCGTTCTGTTTTAAAAAGGGTTTGTAACCCAGAACAGAATTAATGGAAACATAATAAATAAGACATTGTGAGGAAAAGAAAACACAATTTCGAGAGGGGAAGGTGATGCATCTGAAGCCTGAGAGATTTAGGTGAAACAGCAAGCACGTAGGGAAGCTCTTGAGAATTCAGAACTTTACTCATTATTGTTGATACTGAAACTTATTGTGAAGGTACAGGAAGGTTCTTGCATGCCAAGTCACTGAGCAGTAAAAGAGTAGTTTATGATGTTGAAAACCATACGGTGCTATGTAAGTAATTACTTTAGAGTGGGGTTTTTTCAGAAGTGTTCAGCTGCAATCCATGTTTTCATTTGAAAAAGGCCAAAAGTAGATATTTCAAATAATCTCATTTGTATTATTTATAATATACTTTCTACGAGAAAATATATTTAATTAATGATTATTTGCTTCCAAAGAGTAGTCAAGGTTCTTTAAGCCTTATTAGGTACTTTTAGCAAGACCTTCAAAGGTAATTGAAGTCAGGTAGTTTAATGACTGTACTTGTGCCAGCAGCTTTATGGAGAATATTTTATGACACCTTCATAGTAAAAAATTTTAATATCTCCCTAAAATCCAGGTAAAAGAAATGTTAACTGTGTGTTTAGTGTCTACACTTTTCTGGAGTTCCAAATATTAATATAGTCCTGATACTTCCTAGTATTTTACGGTGCATTACATCGGTAACTCATCCTGCAGTTTAAAATCTGGAGCAGTAGAGGGCAGCGTTTTCCTATGGAATGTCGTGTTTCCAGGTGAAGCCCCAGAGCTGCGTTCCCTGCTGGGCACTGCTGAGGTTTGTGGGGCTGTTTAGTGAATGCTCAATAATCTCCACTTTTTGGCCCCTTTTGCCAACTCTTAGACAGTTGCTTTTTTTACATATGTAAGTAGTTACCAAGCAAAAGCAAGTTCTGAAAGTTGTGAAGTTAAATGTGTGTGAACGTTTAAAAAGGATTATGGCACTTAATGTCAGTCTTAACAGCTGTTTACAGCAGAAACTGAGGCACAGAATTGTTAGGGTTGGAAGGTATCTCTGGGGATCCTCTAGTCCAACCTGCCTGCCCAGGCAGGGTCACCTGGAGCAGGTGACACAGGAACATGTCCAAGTAGGTTTGGAATGTCTCTGGAGAGGGAGACTCCACGACCTCCCTGGGCAGCCTGTTCCAGTGATCTGCCACCCTCAGTGTAAAGAAGTTCTTCCTCATGTTGAGATGCTCTTCCTCATCCTGTCACTGGGCACCACTGAAAAGAGTCTGGCACCATCCTCTTGGCACCTGCCTTTGAGATATTTCTGGGCATTAATGAGATCCCCTCAGTCTGTTCTCTGGACTGAACAGGCCCAGCTCCCACAGTCTCTTCTTATAAGAGAGATGTTCCAGATGCCAGATCATCTTTGTAGCCTCCACTGGACCCTCTCCAATAGTTTCTTGTCTTTCCTGAGCTGTGCACTGGAAAATATTAGCAAAAGCTACTGAGGGAAAGGCCAGGAAGGGAGATGGATTTGGAGACATAAAAAATAAGGAAGTTTGAGAGAGACCATAACCTGCTCTGTGCCCTGCAAAAGAAGCGTATAACGAAATGCAGAGGGAAGGGACATACAAACAGAGGCAGTATGTTAATATTTATATATGTATCTGTGAATATATATTACTCATTAATGTGTATATAGTATAAATCATGTAGGGAGGGAATAGAGAAGAAATGGTGGGCATGAGGAAGAAAGGAACATTAAAATTTAAATATATAGAAGGCAGTAGGAAAGTGAAACTCAAAATAACTGCATTGAAAATAATCTTACCTGTTTTCACGTGTCAGCGTTCTTCAGAAATGTATTTTTGTATATATATAAATAACTATACCTAACGTCCTTCCTGTGGAATTTTCCTTTTTAAGAAAAGAAGGCACCAATAAGACCTTCTTTCACTACTTCATATCAAACTTGTTTAAGTAATGAGGATGAATTATGTAAGAGAATTAAAAAAGGGAAAAAAATGGAATCTCAGGTCTTACTCGATAAGATTCATTTTTGACCTCTTAATGATTTTTTTCCCCAACTTTAATGAGTTGGTGGAATGGTGGAAATTACTAAAACCTGTTATGACTTGGCAAACTTACCAGAAACAGTAACAAGAATCTGCTTGTATTTCCTGGCCTGATTATTTATGAACAGTTTTCCTGAGGCCACGCTGTAGGCAGAATATAATGGGGGAAAGGGTATTGCCCAGTTCACTGCTATAAATTGTTTTCAACTGATGAGCTTGTCAAGAATTTCCAAGTGTGCCAAAAATACTGCCTTTGGGGAAAAATGTCCCAAATTAGAATTTAAATTCCAAATTACCGAAATTTGTATGGATGGGAAGAGGTGCAATATTTTCCTTGGAAACAGTAGGAGTTTTCCACACCAGAAATATCTTGGTGAGTTGAAAGGAACCCCAAAATCCCCCTCTCATCGGGGGGATGTGGCAGTGAGCACCAGCCAGGGGTGAGCCCCCACCTCTTGGTGCAGCAGCAGTGCTGCTGGGGTTCTCTCACTGCTTACAGTAGAGATTTTTAACCTGGTCTTTCTGCTCCAGTAAGGTTTTTGGCTCTGAAACAGCCTCTTTGCCAATGAAAATGAGTTTCTGTAACTAACCCAGGAAAACCTGAGAAGATAGTTGTGTGAGAAATATGTATTTTCTGGCAGAATTGCTATATATTGCAAGTATTGTTTTTTGAGTTCATTAAATGGTGTTTTCCCATGAAAACATTTTGTGGAATTTCTGAGCAGCTGCATGTGTACCTGTCCTGAGTAAAGAAAGGTTTGTCCTGCTAAACAAGTAGATTAGTGAGCAATATGCAGCAAGACTGATAGGTACCAACTCAGTTACCTTATTGTAACTTCAGCAGTTTGGAAAAGTGTTTTGGTAAAAGAAATCTACTAAATTTTAGTTTTTATTAGAGGTTGAGAGAGGTTTTTAAATATATTTTATTAAGGAAGTGGATGTGGAAATACATACTAGAAATGTAATTACATGCCAAAACATCATTAGATTCAACGGCCTACAAGTTTGAAATTCAGTTCAAGTTTATGAGTGAAATGTGGGAAAAAAAGAATGGAGAAGGAAGAAAAGTTTGGTTTTATAGCTTTTTAGTGTTTGCTTGCATTTATTGCTAATATTTTCTAGTTAAGGAAAATTTCTGAAATACTTGACTAAACAATTATGTTTTTCAAAATTGTCAGTGTGCTTGTATAACTAGATGGGTAAGGTATAATGATTTAGAGTCTAGATTTCAATGTAAAACATCTTCATACTACATCTAGATATGAAAATATCTAGAATATCCTCAAAGAAATATTCTGTCACTCAGTAAGAAAATAGTACTGCAAGGTGCAAATGCACGTGTAGAAATCTGTGATATGACCTGTAAATTCAAATCCAGTTTTACTGTGCACCAGCTTTCCCGTATAGAGGAAAAGTGAGATTGCTTAATATTTTCCACATGACTTCTCAGAACTGAGATTTGCCAGTAATTTCCAGTCTGGTCTTCAGTCCCACTTTTGTTTAACAGTAAAAAAAGGGCAAAATTATTGCTACTCTTCCCCTTGACATTTGTTTCAGAGTGAAGGGAAAAGGGATTTCACAATTTCTGACTGAGGACCTGCGGATATGCTGCTTTCTGGATTCCAGTTTACCTTGTTTTAATTTTTTTGTTTTAATGAATGCCTAAGCATTGTATTTGTGTAGGAGAATTGTAGCCCAAATATACAAGAAATATAAAGAACGAATTGTACCAGCTAGTGCTTGTCACCCTTTACATAAAACAAACCTTTTTAAAAAGTAAAGGCATGTGGGCCAGATAACCACATGCAGCCTTTCAGGGGGCTTCTGAAGCTGTGGAGTGCTGTGGGAATCATGTGCTTCCCTCACGTGAAAATAGAAGCTGAGGTGGTAACGTGTGTGGACATATTGCAGTATTTGTGTTGGAACTTCCACAGACCCTGTAGCTTTTGGCAAGAGTATTATTCATTATCTTGAGTAAACTGCTGTTATAATTCAAGCACATGTTACTTCAGACATCTGTGGACTCTTCATGTAGGTGAAGATGTAGTAGGACATGTGTTAAACATTTTCACTTTCTAAAATGAACTTATTATTCTTATTAGGTCATCCTTGGCAAGTACACCTGGCTTTCTTATGAAGATGTATACATTAAAGCTGTTAATTTTGGAAATGGCTTAGCAGTGTTGGGTCAGCAACCAAAGACTAACATCGCTATCTTCTGTGAGACCAGAGCTGAGTGGATGATTGCAGCACAGGCCTGCTTTATGTGCAACTACCAGCGTAAGTCCACGTCTTCCCTGAAGTTTTGATCTTACAACACAGTCTGAAAATAAAACTTTTTCTTTGCTTTACATACTAAGAAAACTTGGTATGTATTTTGTATAGAACGTTAAAATTTGCAAACTAAAAAATGCTGCATAAGGTAGAGACTGTGCACTTTATAGCATTTTGTGTTAGTGAATAGAGAAACCTGCATGTTTGCAGATGGAGTATGATTTTGAGTTTGCTCAATGAATTCACGGGAGGTTTTATCTTCTTGTAATCTCAAATCAGTACAGATTCCCAAGTTTCTAAAAACAAGCAAACAAACAAAAATCACACATGAATTCATTAACTCAGTTTCAGGAGTTGACGTCAAACCTTCATCCGTGCCTGTAAGTTTTGTTTTAACTGGATATTTTGTCAGGTTTTCGGTTTTGATTTTGGTTCAGCCTGTTTTTCTTGCCAAGAAATTTACTGAGTGCTAATCTCAACTTGCTGTAGTTGTTTAAATATCTGTTTCATCATCGCTTGTAGTTTGTCATTCACCTCACTGTAAGCCCAACCTGGCTGGGTTCTGTGATGCTCTCAGAGGTCCATATCTCCTTGTCCCACAGGGCACGCTAAAAACTGCTGTTCCTCACGGGCTTTGGCCTCTTCCCTGCTGTGTTAACCCTCCTTCAATAAGAGATGGGCTGTAAAAGCCACATGTGCAGAAATTCCTGATTTGCTACCTATGTACACCAAAGTTAGACTTTTTTCAGGTTTTCAAAGCAAGTCTAACAAGATTATTATGTCTTCAATGGTCTCTCTTTGCTCTGAGCACGAATCTTTTTCAGTCTGAGAAATCATATGTTGATGAGTGTATAGCAGTTTTCACTTACATAACCTGAGATATGCAGTGAAGACTTATTTTGTGCGTACCCTTTGCTGTCTTGTTCCCTTAGTTTTAAGGGTGGAGTTGATGACAAGGTGCACTGCCCTAGCACATAACATTTCAAAGTCAGCCTGCTTGCCTTATATGACATCTGGCTCTGCAGATAAGGAAAGAGTGGATGTCCTGTATTGTGACTTCACCAAGGCCTTTGGCAATGGGCTCTTGTAGTACCTGTACAGCAAACTATTCAGATAAAAGCTGGATAAGTAGGGCAGAGTTACTTACCAGCCCTCAGGGGTTGATATTGACTCCAATACTGTTTAATTTCTTTATTGAAGACCTGGATGATGGGACAGAATGCAAACACAGGAGGTCACAGCATGTTGTGGGCAGCAGCCAGTACAGTCAAGGACAGGGCTGATGTAGAGAGGAAGACAGGGCTCTGGACACTCAAGGACAGGGCTGATGTAGAGAGGAGCCTGTCAGCTGAAAAGCGTGTTGTCTGGAACCTCATGGAGTTTGGTGGAGGCACTTAAAACTTTCTCTGTGTGTGCTGGAATACCTCATGTACCAGTATAGGCTGGGGGACAGTTGGAAAGAGCAACTTTGCAGAGAAGTACCTGAGGGTTCTGGTGGGCAATGGGTCAATCAGATTTCTCAGTGCTTTCTTGTAGTGTAGGCCAGCAGCATCCTGGGTGGTGGTAGCATGAGTGTAGCACTTAGTGTCCAGGGAAATTATCCTTCTTCTTTTGAACACTGGTAAAAACACATCTGGAGTACTGTGTCTGCTTTAGGACTTCCTTGTAGGAAAAAGACATTGACATACTGGAGCAAGTCCAGTGGAGGGGCTGCCAAGAGGCTGAAGGGGCTGGAGAACGTGACCTTTGAGGAGAGGCTGATAGATCAGGATCTGTTCAGCATTAAGATGAGTGAGTTCAGATCTTGTTGCCATCTAGAACTATCCAGTGGGAGCATTCAGAGGAGGTGAAGCCAGACTCTGCTCAAAGGTGTGTTTTGATGAGACTGGAGGTGACAGATACTAGTTGAATGGCAGGAAAACTTGATTAGATATTAGGGCAAACCTCTTCATTTTGAGGGTGGTTCAGTATCAGAACAGGGACCTAGAATAGTTGTGAGATCTCCATCCTTGGAGATGTGTAAAAACCAGACTGGCCATGGCTCTGAACACTCTGCTGTAGTGAATGGTGTGTGCAGGTGATCTTCCTAGGTACCTTCCAACCTAAATTTGGTGATGTTTTTGATTCTTTCTTCGGTGAGTAAATGCTGCTGGCCTGTCTGTCAGAGCAGAGACCTGCATAGGCTATTCTCAGATAAGATGCCTGTGTTGCTTTTAAATTACACGTTTCGTAATACACCATGCCAGTTCCCTTTTATCACTTTTGGGATCTATCAGATTCCTGGTGACTATATATATAAATTCAAAGGCTTGATTATAAAAGCCTTTGAATAAATTCAATAAAATTCAAGAACTTAAAATTAATAGGCTTGTGTAATAAATAAAACATTCAAAGTCTTGTAAATAAATAAAATTCAAAGGCTTGTATCATTTTTTCCCTTTGGTAGTGAAGTGCATTTACAAATCCTAGGAAGATTTCGTAATTTGAGGGGGGGGGGGTGAAATCTGAGATAGGGGATGGATGCTGTGAGCAGAATGGAATGCATATGTTTTTGGTTTTGTTGGATTAATGTTTTAAATCCCCTTGTTGCAACGTGCTCCAGCACACTGTCTGACGTGGTATTCGGCATCTGAGCTGTGCGTCGTCTGATGTGAACTTGGCTGACTTGTGTGTTGGCAGACGATGAGAGTGTTGTGCAGTATCCACGGTCAGTTTGCTGAATGAATTAGAAAATTCAGATGGTCTTGAAGTAGTAGTGTGGCAAGACGTTGCTAAACGACTTAGTATTTTTTGTTTTACAGCTAACTGCTCTGGTAGTGCTGTGACATTCTTTCTGAACGTGAAGTGTATGAAATCTGATGGTGTGGGCCCAGAACTGATGCCAAGAGAGCAGGTTCATCTGTTTCATACCTTCTGTTGGAGAGAATGCCTTTTGCACTACAGAATTAAAATGGGGAAAGTAATTTTTGTTTTGGATTACTTGCACAAGCAAGCAATTTTATGATTAGAAATGCTTGGTTTTAAATGTGAATTGTTTGAGGCTATCTAAGTCTTGTATTTGAGGAGGCAGAGTGGGACTGCTAGTTCAAAAATGCGAAAAGCAGTATAACATGAAAACAGATTTTCTTCCAGAGTACCTCCTCTCCATCTATGTGAACAGCTCTTCACCAGTGTAGGCAGATAACAAAATAGGAGACCTTAGGTTTTATTTTTCAATCATACCTTCCTAAAACTTGAGCAGAAGTGGTCTTGTCAGAATTTATTTGGTTGAAGCCTTTAAATGTGTATTTTGCTTTTTAATTTTGATGTATGATGGATGTTGAAATACTCAGTTTAACATTTGAGTTACATTGAAATAAATTGCAGTAGTTAATTTGTTTCTTTAGGGCAAGGCTTTGTCCTTGTATATGAGCTGGCAAATTTAGTAGTGTTGGGGTTTCTCTTTTTAGACTTTTAGAGCAGCATTCCTAGCAGAAGGTCAGATAACAAAGGCTCACTTCTACTACTGAATGTGTAAAGGTGAACACAAGATAATCCCTTCTTGATGTGTTTTCAAGAGAACAGGGAGAGAAAAAAAATTTACCAAAACTTTCAGATTTGCCTGAAAAAGTTTTGGGTGCCAGTGTGGAGAAGTGAGAATTTCAGAGATCAGAGTCATTGCTCAATTTTATTCTCTCCATGACATAAGTGCACCGTCATATAAATGGTGTCTCTGGCTCTGTCATATAGCTCTAAGTGTCTTAATGTACTTATTTGCAGATGAGTAACTACATACATGGTTATTTCAGAGATGATCCTTTTCCTTCTGGGCGGCGTGTCGGTTCTGCTTGTTGGCTCAGGGAAGCTGAATTTCTATGAGATGTTTATATAACAGGGGTCACTGCAGTAAGTAGAGAGAGCTCGTGGGAACTAGTAGAGGCACTCTTCTGGACTTTGCTCCCACCAAATTAAAGAAAACATAGTGCATGTGCATTTGCCCTGCAACAGTTCTGAACTATGATGGACTGTTTTAACAAGGAAAAAATAAGTAGAGGTCAACTATTTACTTTTCTGTGTAAGAAAACTGCTTTTGAGTTCTTCCTTGGTATGCTGTGCTGGGTTAGTAACTCCTTGGATTTCAAACCTTAAAATACAACAGAACTTTAATTTTTTTATCCTTGCTGCAGTGAGCACAGTAGAGTTACAGTCCTAAGATACAGTAGGGTGTCTTGTTTTCATAATTATGTTGTTTAAATATTCAGCTAAATACAGACTAAAATACAAAAGTGATTCAGATACCTGATGTGACAAAACTTCCAGCATGGATGTTGTAACTATTGGTTGTGTTTACTGACCTTATAACTTCTATGAGATACCCATGTTTTGTGTTCTGCTTGGAAAATAGGAAATTATGATTTTTTTGAGACCAATACCTCTCTTTCTTTTTGAGCTGCCTTTTTCTTCACCAGTCTCTTCTGTTCTCATTCAGTTCCCATTAAAGTGACAGGAAACGAAATATGTTCTTAAAAGTTGTTAATAGGAAATAATTTTTTAACACATTTGTTACTAATGAACTGTCCTTAAATAGAAGAAATGGTGTTTCTTATAGTCAATTCTTAAAATATTTTCTTTGCTGTTCTGTATGATTCTCATGATTTCAGTTTAATTTCTAGTGATGGTGATGATTAAACCTTTCTGACATGACGTTGTTTCAAATAGATGGGCGAATCGGATAGCCATGGATTTATTACTGAGTGTGAGAATTCATCTGCTCATGACACATTTTGCTATGTTGTAATAATTTATTAGTAGCCAGTTGTAAAAGATTAGTAACAGAGTATGTGAATTCTGAAAAGAGAAGTCACATGAGTGAAAGCTGTTTCTTTCCTGTGTGCAAGAGGACTGCTGCACAATGGTTAAACTGAGAACATTTGCTTCTTTTCAGTTGGTAAGATCTAGGAGAATTGCATAGGGTGATGTGGTTTTGGAACCCCTAATTAGAACTTGAAAAATAGTAAACAGTCATATAGACAATGGTAGTTCTTTATTTGTTCTGGGAGTAACTGAAAATCGTGCTGCATTTAAATCCATGTGGTCGGAGTTTTTTTAAGTACAAAATTGTCCCACCTTTCTGAGTTGACAAATATTTTTACTGTCACATAACTTGGAATGAATTGATCTCAGTCCTTTATTGTAAACTGGAACTGAAAATGTGACAGGGAGATTCAGCATTTCCCCCCATTCTGTGTTTCAGTTGTCACTCTGTACGCCACCCTGGGGGGCCCGGCAATAGTACATGGGCTGAATGAAACGGAGGTGACCACCATCATCACTAGTAAAGAATTGATGCAAACAAAACTGAAGGTCAGCAAACTGTTCTTTGTCTATTTCTTTCCAGTGTGTCTGTTCATTATCGTTAAATGACCTGGTTCCATTGTACAGAACAATGATTTATTGCCTTTCTATAAGGCAGATGCTTTTGGAATAAGGTTTATGTACAAAAAAAGTGATAGTTTGCTTTCAGTGGGTTTTAGGCTCCTCAGTGACTCTGGAGAATGGGATGAGCAATTTGCAGTATAGAAGACCTGCAGTGCTGCCTGGAACACCTTTACAAGAAACTGCCATGGTTTCTGAGTGGATTTAGTGCCTATAAATCTAACAATGGGAAGAACAGAAAAATGTATACACTGTGTATGAAGAGCTAAATGTGATCACCCTCCTGGCTTATTGCTGGATGTTCTCCCAGCAGAGAATGGCTTTTAAATCTAAAGATGGCTGATTGAAGGGTTAGAGCTGTTTTTCTGTGTGGGGGGAAAGCTTACTAAACATTAGAATGGTCAAAAAACTTTTGTGACTTGCTAACCCAGTTGGAATACCCAAGTAGAACAATTAATCTGAATGAGTTTCATCATTATGTGTTTTGGTGGAAATGGGGCCTTTCAGATAAAGGAATTTAATGGAATACTGTGCTGTTGCTGGAAATTGAATGAGAATGACCCAAACTTTTGAAAAGGTTCTACAATGACAGTATATATACAATGCACACTTATTTCAACTTGCAGTAAGAGAATGCATTTGTTCTGCTAGAGGTAATGATCATCTCTTCTTCCACTAGAACACTGATAAATGTTTTAGGACTGCCATTTTGCTTCAAATGCTTAATTAATGATTTTCCATATTTTTGCTAGCTGTTGCTTATTTTAAGTAACGTAGTTACCAAGGGACAACCTAAGAATTATTGTGAGCTCAGTATCATCAGTTTCTCTCAGTGTTCTATAGATGTGAAAAGTCAATTATCTCTACAAATCATTGCAGTCTTATTTGTGGGGTTTTCATGAAATAAGACACAAATCAGTAAATGGTTGGAGAAGCTTCTGGACTTGTAAGTGGAAAGTTTGCAGCTATTTGAGCTCAACAGGTTTATCCTCTGATATTTAAAATTCTGAGATTTTATGTCAATGCTTTTTAAAAAGTATACAGTAGATAGTGTGGGGGTTTGGGTTCTTGTTTGTTTTTTTTTTTTTTCTTGTTGGCATAATCCTCATTTTTAGTTTTTGAATACATTTTTATTTCCACAGGAAATTGTATCTCAAGTTCCACTGCTACGACACATTATAACAGTGGATGGCAAACCAACAATGTGGTCAGAGTTTCCCAAGGGTGTCATTGTTCACACGATGGCATCTGTGCAAGCCATGGGGGCCAAGGCAGATGCTGGTAGGTTCTCTTCTTTCTGTTTGGACCATTTCATTTGTTGTCCTACCCTGACTCTGTTGAGTAAACCTGGGGAAATTGCAGATCTCAAAATTATGCAGTGATTAACCTTTTCTTATCTACCTTTTCTTTGAATAAAATATGTGGGTTTTTCTTTTTGTATGGCTGTGGTTGGTTTTTGGAGTGTAGTTTGTTTTGTTTTTCAACAGAGGAAGATACTTTTAGTGAAAATGCCTTCTCCACAATCAAGTGTCACATGTTGAAGGATAATTTTTTTGGATAAGCATTTAGTCCAGGATAGAAACTCAGAAAGCATTCTTCTGATCAGACATATTAAAACCAGGTTTTTCAGGGCACACAAAACCATTGCGCATTTTATGACAAAAGAAATCAGTGGTTTGTTACTATTAAGTTTTGTAAAATTCACAGATAGAAAAATGTAAAATAGCCAGTTGAATCTGATAGAACTTGGTCACTTACTACATATATGAAAGTATCAATTTACTATGTAAATGCATTGAAATCTATTTCTAATCTGTCACATTTTTAGAACTAAAATTCTGAATTTTCTAAGGTTTTTTAACTATTAACATGAGAAATATTTATTCTTGGCTCTGAAGACCTGCCAACTTAGTATCTCAAGATTTAATTATATTCAGTAGTTGCTTTCTTCTGTCCTTATCCTTTGTGTTCTCAGAATCTCTTGACTACTGAAGGCACATGAATATTGGATTGTATTTGAGAAGTAGGGAGGGTGGTTAATCTGTCTGCTCTTGATGTTCAGGGGAATGGCAGGTTTGCTCCCAGCATCATTATCTCTCAATTTCCTTAAAAGATGGTTTTCCCTTTTTGATGTACCAGTTTTATGTACTATTAAAACTGTTTCATACAACACCAACAGAAAAATTATGTCTGTGGTAATTCATTAGCTCCTTGAGATCTGTTAATCTGTGTGCAGTGTAAAAACAGTGTCTAATCCTTCTTTCTTCAGTCTTTTAAATATCACATACTCTACACTACAATAAAGGAACATTTATCTTTGTCAAGTTAAGCATTCATAAACTGTGAAATACTATCATGAATTGTTTATGGTCAAGCATGTCCAATTAATATTAAGTAGATGAGCTGTTTCTTATATTTTCTTCCTCTGTGGTGTTCATTGTGCGGGATAGGCAGGATTCAGTGAGTGGGAAATGATTAAATATGCTTTCATGCTTCTCATTCACTGTGCTCATTGTACCACATGCATTGTGCATTATGCAGTTTTTCCTCTGAGTAAACACAATTGTTTTTGTATTTTTTTGCTCTCAGTGCAAGCATTTAAAAAGCACTTTAATCCAATTAGAGCTGTTGAACTTCTTTTAAATATGTATAGGAATTGGACCTCACACTGGCTCAGCAGTGCCTTGCTGCAGGTGTTGCAAATGAGGCAGTGTGTTCCCTGCCAGGGAGCATGTGAGAAAGGAGCTTTGCACAGAGGGGATGGACCCTGCAGCAGTGTGGAACCAGGGCAGCAAACCTGCCCGAGGGGAAAATGCTCAGTGACATTTTTGAGAAGCCAAAGTTCTGCTCAATTTTCTTTCTACTGCTGGAATAGCAGAAACATAATAGGAAAAGCGTTGTCCTGGCAGACTAGGACAGTCCCTCAAAGTATTGCTCAGCTAATGCAAAGTTCCTACTCTTTGTGAAGGCGTTTGAGCTGGACCACAATCTTTTTAAGCAAAATGTGGTGGCAAGAGTCATGTGGTGCTGTATTGCAGTGACTGCTGGAATATGTTAGTGTATCAGATCTCCCAGCCTGAGAACCTCTCCACATGTTGTACGTTCTCTTTTTTTAACACAAATTGCAGGACACAAACAGCCGTCCAGGCCTGTGCCCTCGGATATCGCAGTGATCATGTACACAAGTGGTTCCACAGGAATTCCCAAAGGAGTCATGATCTCCCATTGCAACATAATTGCTGGGATAACTGGAATGGCTGAGAGGATTCCAAACCTGGGGTACGTACCAACCATTGCTTACCAGCAAATAAAGAAGTCATGTAGTTGAATATAATTTTAGATTAATTACTGTGGAAAAAATAAACATAGCTATGTCTGTGACACATCATACTATGTACTGATGTCTGAGGATCTTCCAGTACTGCACTAAATGACACGGCTACTTCATGTGCTGTTTGTTCTCTCGTCTTCTCTATGTGGGTAAGACTGGGACACAAAAGCCTGTGAGGCCGCCTTGCACTTGAGTGGTTGAAAGCTCCCCTAAGCAGTACTTCCCTTGGTTAGTGTTTAAATTCTGTGGTTTCTTTCTGTTTGGTGCAGTTTGTGATCTTGTCCACAGAGTTGCCTTTGCAACCATAACACACCAGTAATCATCTTGGGATGAGTAAACATCTCCCTTTGTTCATGCCTTAAACTTACAGTACATAGTACAGGACTTGTGAAACAAAACCCATATCATTTGAAATATGTTCTCAAGCTCAAAGGCATTTTCCTGCTTTCTCTACTTCTGTGGTAAACTCTGAGAAAATCTTGCTTAATGATTCATCTGAGGATTCTAGTGGTACAGCATAAACCTGTCTTTCACAAATTCTTCACAGGGAAAAAGACATCTATATTGGCTACTTGCCTCTTGCCCATGTTCTGGAGCTGAGTGCTGAACTCGTGTGTCTGTCTCATGGGTGCCGCATCGGTTACTCCTCACCTCAGACATTGGCTGACCAGGTATGTTGTAGATGTAAGTCTTTAGAGGATATATATAAAAAAAAAAGAAATTAAAAAAAAAAATTACTCAGATCTCTATAATATTTCTTAAACAAACAGTACAACAAATCTTCATTTCTACAGTTCATGAAACAGGGTGTTGGGGATTATGGCTGATACTCTGGACTAGCTTTAATTGTTAGAATATAATTTAAATAAAAATTATTGTTTTGAAAGATATGTCATTTTGTTTCTCATGTTAAAAATCTTGAATATGTCTGCTAGTAAATTTGTTCTTCACTTTAGTCCTCTAAAATAAAGAAAGGAAGCAAAGGTGATGTTACTACACTTAAGCCAACCCTAATGGCAGCTGTCCCGGTAAGTAACTGAAGGATAAATAATTCTAAAAATTGTTTTTAAATGTGGATTCATAATTCAGTTTTTAACAACAAAATCAATGCAATGACCATTTAAGTAAAAAAGGTAGATCCTTTGATGATAAACTAGCTTAAAATAATTTTGGTATTTTTATGTTGGGGATATCATCACAGGAGTGACAGCGTTTTTCAAAGTTAGAATAGCTATAGGGATTAGATTCCCACTCAATTAGTAATTTATTGATCATCATAGTGAATGAATGGAATAAACAGAGTTGGCAGCAGGCAGCTTGGGGTTTAACTAGTGCTCCTGCCCAGACATTTGCTTTCCTCCTTTCTATGATCATCTTGGTATCTCTTAGCAATGGAAGAGGAGGGAACCTGGGAGTTGGTTGTCACCTGAAATGTACTTTAATTTCTAGATCATGTTTTCTTTTTCTGTTTCTTTGAGTTAAAGTTAATCTTTTTATGTAACTAGGAAATTATGGATCGGATCTACAAAAATGTCATGAATAAAGTGAATGAAATGACGAGTTTCCAGCGGAATCTGTTTATATTGGCCTACAATTACAAAATGGAACAGATTTCCAAAGGTTACACTACCCCACTCTGCGACAGGTAATGTGAACTTTATTTGTAATGGCACCAGAAAATCACTTATCAAAGTCTTACCGCATGAGCAGTATCTGATTTTTTTTTTTTTGTGCTTTTCTTCACTTTATTGTTGACACTCTGAACATGAGGAAGTCTAAATAAGTGTCAGTTGAAACAACAAATCAGTAGTTTGTGTGATGGATTTAAATATTTATTGATATAATTCAAGTGAGTGTTATTTAACTGTAAACTGATTGGAAATTTACATTTATTGCATTATTTTCATCAGGAATTTAATAATAGATTTATATAATTCTTGGGTAAGATGAGAATTCTATTCCTATAGAAAACTGTAGACTTCACATTTTCACAGAAGGGAGTCACAGAATATCTCAAGTTGGAAGGAACCCACAAGGATCACTGAGTCTAACTCCCAGCTTCAGTGAGACTAAAGGATAATGTTCCAAAATTTATACAGTGTACTTGAATTATTTTTAGGAGAAAATCACAGAACTTTGCTGTCTCATTCAATCTTTGTTCTCAGACACTTAACCCCTCTTTAAATTAGAATGTGGAAACAAGCTTAGAAAGCTTTTTGAAAACTTCAGTGTGCTGCTCCTTCAGGATTTTCCTTGAATGCCTTAGAAGTGTTTTTGAAGATGGTGGAAACTTACAGTTCAGATACAAAATTAGGTATTGTCTCATTTTGGTTTTAAGCAGCAAATATATATTCTTATCTTTGCATTTCAGCCTTATCTTCCGGAAAGTCCGAATGCTGCTAGGTGGGAAAATCCGCATCCTGCTTTGTGGAGGAGCTCCCCTCTCAGCAGCAACGCAGCGGTTCATGAACATCTGTTTCTGCTGCCCTGTGGGACAGGGGTACGGGCTGACGGAATCGGCCGGAGCCGGAACCATCACGGAAGGTTGGTGTCCGTGAATCCCACTGTGTGCTCTGGTCCGTGCTGAGCGTCCTGCACGTGCCGTCTTTGATGGCCTGTTCCTCTGGTGTGTGCCTGCCACCAGGCACGATTGGGGAATCCTGGGAATTACTTGTTACAAATGTATGAAACAGCAGGAGCACTAATTTTGGCACGTCGTGCTAAAGCTGGTGACCTGCATATAAAATGAATGTTCTCGTTTGCGATGGAGCAACCCATAAAAACGTGAATGGGATCGTGGCGTTGTTGCACTTACCAGTTGAACTGAATAATTTTTTTCAAATTTTGGTGAGTATATTGAGATGTTAGGAAAATAGAAAATGGAAAGCAAAAGCCTGCACCAGATTCTAATTTCATATAATAGAACCCAATGGTTTCAGTTGCCTTTTAGTAACTGAGGATGTCTGTAAATACAGTCCATCTACTCTCTTGGCATGATAAGAATTTTACCTGCATTACCTTGATAAATCCATTGTTTTTCTTGTAAGTTCTGTTCTATGAATTAAAGTTTCAAAATAAATAGCAGTTAATTCTCACTAAATAAGATGCATGACAAAAAAAGAGCTTTTTCTTTCTAATCAGTTTTGTTTAAATGTTTTTCTGAAAAATGCTCTTTTTAAAATTCTAGTTTGGGACTACACTACAGGAAGAGTGGGAGCACCCTTGGTCTGTTGTGAAATAAAGTTAATGAACTGGGAAGAAGGTGAGAATTCCTGTATGTGATTAAATTGAAGTTTGTATGTAAGTATGTTTGTAAGAACTGTATTTTTTTTATTGGGCCTTGCTCAGTAGTAGTAATTAGAAGACTATTTCTTGGCTATTTAGATTTTAAATGCTACTCTTGCCTATAAATCTTGCTCTTGGGGAGAAGAAAGGTAAAATAAATTCCTCAGTGGTTTTTAAACTTTGAAATACTTAGACAGAGGCTGTCAATGCAGGTGGGATTTTGACTTGGTAGTGTTATGATTCTCTTTGACTATACTATTCTTTTACTCCAGTCACCTTATTTGTATATGTACATTATATAAATGCATACAGCACTGTACCTCTTCCTGATTTAGATCAGTGTTCATGCAGGTTGTGTGTTGTGCCTTAGAGGTGCTGGATTCAGGAAACTTCAGCTGAAGTGTGTGTATGATACCTTAAGTTGCCACTAAGAAATATTTTAAAATAATCTTTATAATATTATTAGTAAAATCATTAAAAAATTGACACGTAGTGTGGAAGCTTAATGAATGCTATATAAAATATATATAATAAAGTTTGAAATACATTTAGGTGATTTCCTTTCACTGTAGGCTTTTATGTATTGTAGAGTAGAAATACGTAATACTTAAGGCTGGTTTAGGCTAGAGGGAAACCTTATAGGTTTTTTCTTTCCTAAAATGTGAGTCAAAATTATTTATTTTTTTTTTTATTTGAACCTGTGTAGAACTGATAGAGGGTGTTAGAGGGTGGCAGAAAGATTGCACAGAGGTGGCATTTGCCTCTGCATGTGTGTGAACATCACTGTTTGTTAAACACACCTGTTTAACAGCTGTTTAAATGCTGAAAAGAATTGGAACCATTTCCTCTTTTAATGAACTATTTAGGCAAGTGGTATCTTTGGCTAAGGACTTACTACAGTGTTTAGTTCTATATTGAGATAGTAAAAATAGTAGGAATTTTTTCTTTGTAATATGTTTTAATTCTTGCTAACTAAAAAAACCATTGTTTTAGGTGGCTATTACAACACTGACAAACCATATCCTAGAGGTGAGATCCTTATTGGAGGGCAGAATGTGACTGCAGGCTACTACAAAAATGAAGCACGAACCAAAAAAGATTTCACTGTTGATGAGAATGGGCAGAGGTGGCTCCATACTGGAGACATTGGAGAGTTTCATCATGATGGGTGTCTAAAAATTATTGGTGAGTTAAATTCAGGTGAACATATGTGTATATATACTCACATTTTTCAGGGCTACTAAATACAGTAATTAACAACAAAAAAATCTCCATATCTTGGCATGCAGTCTAAAGCCCTCCCATTTATCCCAGGGAGGTTCTGATATGTTAATGGAGGCTTGTTTGTGTGTTTTAGAAGTTGTTTTTTGGTTACTTTTGAAACAGTCTTAACAGTGACTCCATATATTAGTGAGACAGGGTAGTTATTAGAAAATTAACTATAAGCTAATTCAGTAGATAAGCTGCCTGAGATTATATAATTATGTAAGTGTGGAATTTGATTGGTGAAAAGGCTCTTGGGGTAATACATGCTCAGGAATTAAATAAGCTTTTTTTAAATCTTGGCATTCTTTAATAAGAATATCCTTATATCATATAGGAACCAGGGCAAAATATACTGAGATAAAGGTGTTAGTACATAAGCCAGTGATAGGCTCATAGTTTTTTGACACCTGTAGGTGCAAAATTAGGTGCTTTATAAATGACCAGGAGTCTCTTAAAATCAGTAGGTGATTCAGGGAGCTTTTAATCCTGAAAAACAAAGCTCACTTGGTTTATTATAGCAGAAAAATCTTAGGTTCCATTGCAGTTGTCTTGCACTGGTCAGGTAGGTCAGACAGCTACAAACCCCCTGGCCTGGTCAACAAAGCAGCACAACAGTACATGGTGAAGGAGAGGTGCTGCCACCACACCTTGGGGGTAAGGCCCTGTCCTCACCTTTGTCTTCTTTGGGCTATGTACAATAAGATTCAGTTATTTTTGCCTTAACTTTTGGTTCCCGTTGTTGTTTTTCAAGTAACAACTGGACAGTTGCTCTTTATATATGGATTTAGCCTGAAATAAATAAGAAAATGTCACCAGGTGGTGCATTTTCTGCCTTGAGTGTCCGTACCAGACAGTACAAAATATGTGCTCCTAGCTAATACTGGCTTTTGCATAATCCTAGTTGTCTTCCATGCACATGATGGTGCTGTCATGTAGGAAATGCTGTTCTAAAGGCAGAAAATGCATGGAATTGTAGTGTCTTTTGTTTTGGTGTGAACAATGGATTGATAAAATACAGAGTCTGGAAACCTGACTTTAAATGTTTCTGGTACATTCACCAAACATAAGTCAGCTTATCTTTTGGTATTTATAGATGCATTTCAGAAAAATCTAAAATCGTTGTCTAAAAGTTTTCTGTTCTGTAATTAAAGTTTAATTCCTTTTTTCCTCAATAGATCGCAAAAAAGATCTTGTAAAACTGCAGGCAGGAGAATATGTTTCTCTTGGCAAAGTAGAAGCAGCTCTGAAGAATCTCCCACTGGTAGATAATATTTGTGTCTATGCAAGCAGGTAAGAGGCAGCTGATACTTTTTTACTGCTCTGTTCTTTGTCTGTCCTATTGAAGCCATAAGCAAAAATTTTTGCCACTCATTGTGTGACATTTTTTTAATCAATTGGAAAAAGAGTTAACATATAATACAATGGAATAATAACCTTATCAAAACCGAAACATCTGAAATCTGTGGGTTTTATTTTTTTTCTCATTTGTTTTCATTATTTGCTGGAAATGCCAATAATGAGTCTTTTCATTCCCTCTTCCCCAATCTGAAAAGCAGCTGAGTTCTGGCTGCATTAATAATGGACATCACTCAAGCACTTTAGAGATTATTACCTATAGAAGCCTTAGGACACCTTGTTTGTTGCTGTATTTAGTTGCAATCTGTCCTTCAGAGGAAGTACTGTGGTACTTCAGAGGAAGGTGGTAGAAAAAATCACCAACAGCCCAGAAGCTGGCTTGCAAGTTAAAATTACTTTTCTTTAACCCCTGCATACACCAGCAGAAGCCTTGAAGCTTAAAACACTCTAAATACTATGCAGACACACAATTAATAAATGATGATCAAATGACCTTTCTCTTTGCTTTCTGTGTGCACTAATAAATGAGGCATACAAGGGCTCAAGCATGTCTTAAGTTTGTATTTCTACAATTTCTTGCCTATGCATAATAGAGACTTACACATATAAATATACTTCAGGTTGTCTTTGTTTTCTTTGATGTTTTGATGTTTGAAAAATCATTTTGGAGCTTTTGAATTATCAGAAATATTCTGATTTCCAGTATGGCAAAAAAAGCCCCACTTTCGATAGAAGCCAGGAGAAGCATATCAGAGAATTGCTCAGTGGTAATAAATAAAAAATTAACTTTTGGGTTGTTCTCCTGGTTCTCTGTAGTTCTTGGGTGGTTTGTGTTGACTGATGGTAGTCATGCTGTAACTTCAGTCCTGACAGTTTGGGATCAGTAGGCTAACATGCATTGGGCAAACCATTGCTGAGAAAATTTCCCTTATATTAATCTTTATTTGTGGTTTGGACCTGTTGAGTGAGTCTCATGTTTGATTGCTTTGACTGCCTGAAGTTATGTGCCTTTTCGAAGCACCCTCTGTAGTCTATGGAGAGGGAGCTTCCTACAGGTGGTGATTTCTGTTCTTCTAGGATTGAAGTTCACTATTGGCCTCGTACTATCAAATTTTGTATTAATTTTGCCAGGTCAAAATAACATTGGAAGCTAAAATGCACTTGTCAGAGAGACACTTGACTCTGATAGACTGTCTTGACCATTATTTAAAAACAGGAAAACCTATGAGCAATTTTTAAAGGTAATTTACAAACAAGAGTCCAAACAAGATCAAGGACAAACAAGACAAGACATTCTAGATTGGTTTTGCTGCTGCTGTATTTCTTCTCCAGGCTATTGTGTGTAATGTGGCATAAGTAGCCACATCATACAGATTCCCTGATTGATTGTCCATATGCACATTTCATTGTGGGTATATGCTCACTTCAGCAGTCTGAGCTCAGAGAGTTTTGTAACAGTGCCTATGACCTCTTAGATCCTGTCTCTCCTTATACTTTGCCTGGGTGATCTCCTGTGCAGGAGGAGTCTTTCATTTGTAGCTGTTCTGCCTCCCCCATGCAAAAGGACAAGGAGGGCAGACTTTTATAAATGAGTTATATCTGTGATTTGATTTTAGATCTTGGGGTGCAAAGCTCCTCTGAACGTGGCAATAGGGAATCAAAATTGTTTGCATGATATTGGTGCTTCAGAAGCTGTATTGACTTCATATATAAATATTCAGTATGATAAGGAATAAAATGTCTGCTGAAAGGAATCATGATTAGAGTTCTTTCAGGGGAGACTCCTACTGCTTTATCAACTCATGATTAGAGTTCTTTCAGGGGAGACTCCTACTGCTTTATTAACACTTCATGCATCCAGGATGCATTAAGTGGGTCTTGAGCATCACCTCGGGAAAATGAGTAGTTCAGTTACCTGAGAAATGAGCAAATGTGGTAAAAAAACACCTGAGGGAGTTCTCAACAGAAGTCTTAAGGAGATAAGGACCAGATGTATAGTGCCACTAAATGTGTCTGACCGTAGGTCTGAGAGCTGTACATGGGTAGGATTTCAAGCACAGCAAGGGAATGAGGATGTCTAGAGTAGGACGGACATTTTGGCAAATTCTTTTAGCATGGGAGGGATGGCTAAGGAGGTCCTGGGGACCAAAGTCTGAAAATTTCTTCCTTCATGCTGTTGTGATGACTTCCAAGACTGGCAAAGCTACCAAATGCAAAAGATCTGCAGAAGGAACGGTGGTGGAGAGGGAAGTAACTGCTCTAGAGAGAAGATGTACTCTTCAGGATACTTCTCGAGACAAAACAGTGCTTTGGCATTTGAACTGTAACAAGTGAAGATTTAACATCGTGAAACAGAATGAAAAGCTGCACGTTCCAGGAGCTGTGGTGTTCTTTCCAGGAAAAAGCACAGTTGGATGAACCTGCTTGTCCAGAACAAGTATACTTCTACTCAAGAGGCTGAATTTTAGGTGAATGAGAAAGTTCAATGCTTATCCAGTCAACTGATTGTTTCTGTATACTGTTTATTCATGGAGACACCGGTGATACTGCTGGACTTGACCTTAAGCATGTCAAAAGACTACAGGAACCAGGCATGAAAGAGGCAGAGTCCTTTGTTCTGGATGCCTTCATATGCAATACATACACATTAGAGAGGAGAGCCTAGATGAAGTTACAAGGGTTCAGTACAGAGCAGAGCATGGGTGTGCATGGGGAAGAAAATCAGACCAAGGCAAAAGCAGAAAGTGAGTTGCAAGCAGTAATGATATTGAGACTAATCTGAAATCATTCTTTAAGTACATTCTTAGTAAGAGCAAAATGAAAATGGTTTCAAGGCAACCAGTAGGCAGAGCTTGTGATGATGCTGACAGGGAAGCCTGTGTTTGTAATCGACTCTGATGCAGTCTTCACAACTGCTGTCAGAGGCCCATTATTATTCATGTCAGTAACAAAGGAGAAAATTGTAATGTACAGGAACCAAAAGGATATTTAGAGTTAGTATTTTAAAATTATCTTGGAGACCTTAAAGGATAAGCTACAGTAATCTCCATATCAGGGTTAAGTTTCTGTATGTTACGTTAATGATCTGTCTGATGAAAGAGAGAGTTGAAAAGATTTAATAAATCTGTAGGTAGCTAAGGTGAGATAGAACTAAAGCCACAGTGGAGGATAGGATTAGAATTCAGAGCAAGCTTGGCTAGATGGAGATTTGCTTGAAAACACAATCAGGTTAAAGAGGGGAATTGTAAATTATACTTACACCTCAACTGCAGAAGGCCAGGATCAGAGCCACCACCTGGTAGCCTGTTGGAGCTGACATGAGTCAACAAGTGCCATGCAGTTATAAGAAGGTATGGCATAGCAAATGTATTGCCTACAAGATGCACAATGATCTTTTTGCTCTACCAAGCATTAAAGAGTCTGATTTTCATATGTAGTGCTTCTGAAAAGGTGGACTACTTGAAAAGAGTCCAGGAGAAAAATGGGTATGTCTGGGCAGAGGTCTGTGATACATGATTTAGGAGGAAAGGGCACTGCTTAAATTCCTAAATAAACATAAAAGAGGAAGGAAGACTAGAAAGGTGAGAATGAAAAAAAGTAACAGTCTGTAAATAAATAAATGGCTTCTGTGGAAAAGAGAGGAACATCTGACCATTCTGAGGTAAGCTGCAGAGAGGAGGAGTCAAGAATAGCCATCAGGAAGAGCTTGCAATGAAGCAGTGATGGTAGCACTCACCCCATGTTTAAGAAAGATTTAGACAAGCATCTGTTACATATATCTGACTGTTTCAGGGCAGGTCAGTTAATTAGGTGATCATCTGAGTTTGCTTTCAACTCTCTGATTCTATGAAGGGCTTTGTTAGAATGAGTAGAGCTCCTATATGAGGCTCTGTTCACATTTTCCCTAAGCTGTACACCATCTGAAAAATCTTGAATACCTGTTTCAAGGTGAACTGTGCTTCAGTGTTTTCCAAAGACTTTGAGATCACAGCTTCATATGTTCTGGGCATATCAGGAGCAGACAAAGATTGCCAACAGTCGAGTGAGCGTATGGACAATCACTTAAAAGAGAAAGAGAAGTCACTTCCCTTACAGAAGCAGGCATTCTTTGAGATGTGTTGTGCATATGCTCATTCCACAACCTGCTCTCCAACCCCTCTTCACTGCAGTCCTCTACTCCTCTACAGTAACTGGATTCTGCAGTTGAGAGGAAACTGAGGTAGGGAAGCCGCACACCAGTCTTCATACCGGGATGCAAAACATGAGGAGAGGCAGGGAGCATTGACACCGTATGGGAACTGCTTCCCAAAGCTTTGAGCATGAGACACAGTGGAATATGCATATGGACAGCACACCTTGAAGCAATCCAGTTACTGTAAGGTAAGTAGCTTCTCTTTCTACTTATTTTTAAGCAGGTAAAGGTAACCTGTGTACTATTTCAGAAATATTATCAGGTGAACAAAAGCCAGCTGTTGAGAGCAATATCTCTGTATGAAAGTGCAAACCCACCCAACTTGAAATGTTATTTTTGAAGACTTGTTTACTTTACTAAATTCATACTAAAGTATATTGTACTCCGCAGTTTCCATTCTTATGTCATTGGATTTGTTGTGCCAAATCAAAAGGAGCTCGCAGAACTAGCTCGAAAAAAAGGATTTAAAGGAACCTGGGAAGAGATCTGTAACAGTCCTGAGATGGAAAAGGAGGTACTGAAGGTGCTAGCTGAGGCTGCCATGGCAGGTGAGTGGCTGGGTAGATATTATCAACCTTGTGGACTGCAGTGTCTGTGAAACAGGTAAGTATAGGCCCTAAAAAGATTTCCCAGAGTGTGTATATTTCATAGAACCTATACGAAGTGAAGTTTTTATACCAAAAGACGCCAACAACGAAACATGAGTTGCATCATTTTGGTTCATGGAACTTCTCTTACTGTGGCCAATAGCTGAGGAAAGAATATAAACCAGGACAAACTTAACAAGTTCAGTTCCCTGTATATATGGGTGTATGTGTGTCTGGTGTTCTTGAAGATGTCCTGAGGTATCTTTTTGGCCTTAGCTGGTGGTCCAAAAATAATGTGTGTTACCTATAGATCCATGGCATGTGTTGTGTGTCACACAGTCTCACGTGCTACATACTGATGCAGAGTTGAAATAAACCCATGGAGACAGGGGCTCTCCTGGTTTCCAGTTACTTGCATCTGAGGGATTTCCAAAACTAAAGCAGCATCTCTTCAGATAGTAACTTTCAGTAGATTTTTCCTTCCATTAACTCTTTTGTCACACTTGAAAATTACTCAAATGTTCTGTATCAGTATCCACCGTATCCTGTAGCAGAGTTGCACAGTTCAGCCATGTGTGTGAAGAAATGCCTGATTTGTTCCAACCCTGCCATCTGCCAGCTGAGGTTGGTTCTGCTGAGCTCTGGTATGGGAGAGGCAGTGGACAGTCACAATGGTGGTTGTGATACTTTCGGTGTCGATTATACTTCCCCCTCAGCTGTATCTTTTTCATGCTAATTGGTCATAGTCTGTTAGGCTGTTCTGGTGCAGAATGAAACAGTGGCACAGTGATAGTTTGTTCTTCAGAATAATTTCTGCCTTATTTTTGCTTTTGGCTGTTCCTAATCACTGAGGTTTTTCATAAAGCTATCACTTATGAGCACAGAATGTTTTTTTAAATGGTCATTGGGAATGTTAAGTTTTTCATACACATTCTCTTTGTGATACTGAGCAACTGCAAAACAGCACAAAACAGTCATTGCAGAGAAGCATCAATGTCCTTCTGCACCTCTTCTGCAATCTGAAAATGGCAGATTGCACAGGATAACTATGCATTTGTGTATATTTTTGAAATTTAACTTGAAAATAGATGTTTTGTTGACATTATTGCTCATCTGTTGGTTAGTTTTCTAAGTTGTTTTTCTTCTCTTATATCTGAAACCATAGCAGAAGCTCTTGCAAATGATAGTGTTTTTTGCTAAGTGTGTAACATGCAGAGCACTGTTCTGTTTCAGGACAGGGACCAGCTGCCACATGAACTTAATTTCCTTCATCAATTTGGGACTATCGGGGAAAAAACAACTACCCCCCCTATTTTTTCAGGCTTAAATAGTATGGATTTTAAGATTTTTGTCTCCGGATGATGAGTACCATAACGCTGGTACAGTAGTGTATGTTTTGAGGATGTCACCTCCATGCACTGATGCTTTTCTGAAGTTAGGGAGCACAGATATCTGAACAGCTGGGCTTTATTCCAGTATTTCTGTGGAAACTGGAGAACAGTTACTGGTGGATCCTGTCACTGCTTGTGACCCCACAGGTTATCAAAGCTAACCACGGGGGTTTAGAGGAGCACTTCGTTTATGTCTCGTGCTTTTGTCTGTGAGAATGATTTCTCCTTTTGCTTGTCATTTTAGTGACATGGTTACAGTTATGTTTTGTATTCAAAATATTTCTCCTTACAGCTAATCTGGAGAAGTTTGAAATACCAGTGAAGATTCGTTTGAGCCCTGATCCTTGGACCCCAGAGACTGGTCTGGTGACAGATGCGTTCAAGCTCAAACGCAAAGAGCTCACAGCATATTATCAAATGGACATTGATCGAATTCTCTGCTACCTTGTCAGACTGTGGATTTTCCCAGGTCTTTTTGGGAAACCATGATTCTGAAGCCTCAAATTTTTAAACATTTA